CAAATTTGAAACTTGCATGTCGTACTGACGCATCTTGTTTCTTCAATGAAAGTCTCTGGAATTTTTGCTCAAGTTATGTAACTGATAATATAATTGTAGTTCTTTTGTTTTTGTATTAAACTGAAATCCATATTTATGGCTAATTCATACTGATTCCTTATTATAAGAGAACTATGTTTTCGAATTTTGTAATGATTTTTTTTTATATTTGTATTGAATAGATTTTTAAACCAAGATATTTTTATGTAATGTTCCATGTTAATTTTAGGACACTTCTTGCATGTATTGCAACAATATACTAAATATACTACTCAAGTACTTGTAAGAGACTGTCTGTGATCTGAAGTGGTAGCCATTTTTATAGTAAAGTGGCTTTGAATAACACTTAAGTTTATTGAGCATCAGATCAGGCTGCTCTATCCCCCTTCCTGAAAAACACTGATTTCTTCGTTCCTACCTGTATTTTTTCTCTCTATTATTTAAACATAGTCTGTAATGTTTTAAGAATCTCTTGAGTCTATCCTATTTAGGTCATCCATAGGAGAGCTTCGCTGTCTATATATGTTAAGAACTCTTTTAGGACCATTCCGAGTTTTGTTCTAAGAAATCTCTTAAGTCATATCTTAGGACTATTCTTATGACACTTTTGATAGCATGCCTGCAGCCCTCTAACTGTGGCCTTGATGTGACTCACAGGTACCTCATGCAGTTAAGTCTTAGCTTTGGTTTTGAATAGTTTGACTTCTAGACTGCCCACTGTTGCCCCACCCTACCCCTGGGGGTCATGATTTGAACAAACTTGAACCTACACTACCTGAGGATGCTTCCACATAACTTTCATGTTTTCTAACACAGTGGTTCTTGAGAAGATTTTTGAAAGATGCCATAAATTTTTCATGACTTTGCAATTATCTCCTCTTTGAAGAAGGCGTGGCCCTTCATTTGAACAAACTTGAATCCCCTTCACCCAAGGATACTCTGTGCCAAGTTTGGTTGAAACTGGCCCAGTAGTTCTGGAGAAGAAGATAAAAATGTGAAAAGTTTACAACAACAACAAAGACAACGCCAATGACGACGACGACAGACAACGGACAAATTTTGATCAGAAAAGCTCACTTGAGCCTTTGGCTCAGGTGAGCTAAAAATCTATAAAAATTTTTCTTCTCAAGAAAAGCAAAGCAATGATTTGTCATATTAATAGGGAAGCATCCTCAGATAGTGTAGATTCAAGTTTGTTCAAATCATGACCCAAAGACTAGGGTGAGCCAAAATCAAGGATCAAAGTGTTATATATACAAAAAAATCTCAAGAACAACAAAATCAGGATTAGTCATTTTGATAAGTAAGCATCCTCAGATAGTGAAGAGATTCAAGATTAAGTTCATTCAGATCTTGATCCCCGGGGGTAGAGGGGGCCCCAAATGGGGGATCAAAGTTTTACATAGAAATATGTAAGGAAAAATCTTTAAAAATTTTAAAAATCTTCTGAAGAACAGCAAAGCCTGGATTAGTCATATTGATAAGGAAGCATCCTTGGCCAGTGTAGATTAAACTTTGTTCAAATCATGACCCCCGGGTGTTCGTTGGGGCCACAATGAGGGATAAAAGTTTTGCATAGGAATATGTAGGAACTATCTTCAAAAAACTTCCTCTCAAGAACAGCAGAGTCAGGATTAGTCGTATTGACATGAAAGCATCCTAAGATAGTGTAGATTCAAATTAGTTTAAATCTTGACCCCCGGGTCATATTGATAAGGAAACATTCTCAGGTTGTGTAGATTGATGTTTGTTCAAATGATGACCCCTCTGGGATATGGTGGGGCCAAAATGCACTATCAGAGTTTAACATTTGGATATATAGGAAAAAATCTATAATTTTATGTCAAGAACAGCAAAGCCATGTTTAGTCACATTGATATGGAAGTATTTTGAGGTAGTGTCGATTGAAGTTTGTTCATATCGTGACTGTGAGGGGTAGGGTTGGGCTACATCTATACAAATCATGACACTAGGGGTTTGATGGGGTCATAATAGGGATAAAAGTTTTACATAGGAATTCGTAATAGAAAAAATTGCTGATTAAACAACAGCAGGGCCATATTGACTCAAATGAGCGTTGTGGCCCATGGGCCTCTGGCTTGATATTCTTATTCTAAGTTTATTATTCTTATTCTAAAAAATATCATTCCTATTCGATAAAATGTGATTCCTATTCGATAAGTTGTTATTCCTATGCGAAAAAATGATTCCTATTCTATAATTTGTCATTTCTTTTCCTTAAATTGTTATACCTATTGGAAGAAATACTTAATTCCTATTGAAAAATATTGTTCATATTCGAAAACATGTACAATGTATTTCCTATTCGATAACTTGTTATTCATATTCGAAAACACGTGATTCCTTTTTGTCATTCTTATTCGGTAATTTTGTCATTCGAAAATTATGTGATTTGCATTGCAGTGATTTTGTTATTCTTATTGAAAACCATATCATTCCTATTCGAAAGATTAAGACTAACAAAATTATCGAATAGGAATTGTATGTTTTCGAATAGGAATGACTTGTTTTTCAATAGGAATAACCTGTTTATCGAATATTAATCATTTAATTATCGAATAAAAATGACAAAATTTTTGAATAGGATTGACGAAACTATCGAATAGGAATCATATGTCTTTAAATAGGAATAACGAATTATCGAATAGAAATCACATGTTTTGGAATAGGAGTAATACAAATTATCGAATAGGTACCATGTTTTCGAATCGGAATACTTGTAACAACTTATCGAATAAGAATGATAAATTATCGAATAGAAATCACATTTTTCGCATGAGAAACAACTTATCTACTAAAGCCTTTTAGGATCAATCTATGGAGAAAAAAAATTTAAAAGGCGTCATAACTTTTGAAAAGGCGTAATATCGCGGAAAAAGGCGTTATAACGCGCAAAAGGCGTTATTACGCCTTTCTAAAAGGCGTAATTACGCCTTTCCAAAAGACGTTATTACACCTTTCCAAGAGGCGTTATAACGCGTTTCCAAAAGGCATTATTACGCCTTTCCAAATGGCATTTTTACGCCTTTTAAAAAGACGTTATTACGCCTTTTCAAAGGCGTAATTACGCTTTTCAAAAAGGCGTTATTACGCTTTTCTAAAAGGCTTTTTTACGCCTTTTCAAAAGGCGTTATTACGCCTTTTATTTTCGATACATGACTAACTCCCACCCCGGAGGCTGCTGAAATCTTATCCTCGGGACATGATTTTCGCAATTAGATATAGGGCTTATTTCTCCAAAAGTAATTTAATTATTGTAATTAGATTTCCAGGAAAAAAGATTTTGAAATGTGTAATATATTTTCAATGATGAACCAACTTAGTCCTTCTCTGATGCCAGACACCTCCTACCAAGGGTCATGGATTTCACAAATTGGTTGAAGGCTATTTGCTCATTATACCCATGCAAATAGTTTGCCTGCTTTTTTCAAGAGGAGAGGAAAACATTTTCAAATTTGACATGAATTTTTAATACATGTCCGGCAAAGCCCTAAGCTGTATCTGCCTATATTCTAGATTTTCACAAGAAGAGTGTTGACTTCTCGTACTACGTATGCAAACAGTTGTCTGCGAGATGTGCAGGAATATAGAAAATACTTTTAAATATTGCATAAATAAAGATGGCTTTGATTCAATCTTTCAAATATTTCTTAATATAAAAGAACGCCTTTCCATTTTTGGACATAACGCCTTTTTAAACAGGGCGGGGGGGGGGGGGGGGGGCTCCACCCCCCACTTTTTGGGAGAATAATCTTGCTATAGTTTAAATATAAATAAATCATTTATTGTCTGCTTGGTCCCTGAACATTTTGTTGCAGTATGGCTAAACTCTGGCAAATAATTGCATTAAAAAAATTACCGAAAAGTTAGAAAAAGATCCCCCTTTAGTTTAGGCAGTTTAGTTTTTTTTGGGCGGGGGAGTTTTTGATTTTTTTTATTTTATTTTATTTTTTTTTTTTTTTTGCTTGCTTGTCAATTTTTTAGGAGGCTGCCCCCCCCCCTCCTCAAAAGCACGGGCCTGTCAAAAGCATAATAATGGCTCTTCAAAAGACAAAATAACGCCTTTTGGAAAGGCCTAATAACGCCTTTTGAAAAGGCATAATAACGCCTTTTAGAAAGGCGTAATAACGCCTTTTGAAAAGCCGTAATAATACCTTTTGAAAAGGCGTAATAACGCCTTTTGGAAAGGTGTAATAACGCCTTTTGAAAAGGCGTAATAATGCCTATTAAAAAGGCGTATTAACGCCTTTTTGAAAGGCGTACTAAAATTTTTTTTCTCCTAGGATTGATCCTAATAGGCTTTTGTACTTACCGAATAGAAATCACATTTTATCGAATAGGAATGATATGTTTTAGAATAAGATTTTTTTTTTGAATAGGAATAAGGAAATAGTTTAATAATGCAATGTTTTACACGCCATACTTGATGACAAAATGTTTTATTTTACTGCGAATCAAATAAATCACTTTTCTTTTAAATAAAGCATTTACTTGATATATAAGCTGTTAATGATAATTATGAAAAATATTAGTGAGAAAACGTGCAATCTGGGGCTTGCTCTTTGATTCAACCGTCGTCTGTAAGTAACAATTCTAATTAAAACATCATGCGCTAATCAGGAAAGAAGAATTTTTTTTGAACTCTGGGTTTTTATTAATTTGTAATCAACATATTAGACTTTTCCATATCGAAGTTGTAAATTGCATATATTTTCCCAACATGTTAATTAACACGTTTACAATAGGATAACATTCACGCGACATTAATTACAAGACACCAACCAGTATTCTCCCATTCTCTATCCAGAGGTGTTTGTCCGCTAGGCTCACGACACCTTTGTCAACGCTCGTTGTACAAAATTCTTGTACAAATTTTAAACGGTGAAATTTTGAAAGTTAAATAGTAATTAATTATTGTAATTATCGATAAAATGATAATTTATTATTTATTTAAATCTATTATCCCTCAAAACGACTTATTTTAAAAGTTTTTAGGGAACTATTTTGCGGAGTAAAAATTAAAATCTTAAATAAAAAAAGCCTTTTAAGGTGTAATATATTAAAATAAATAATGATTTCCGATAAGAAATATTATTGAAAACGATTATGAATACAACT